CCCCAAAACCCCAAAACCCCAAAACCCCTAAGCAATGATATAAAGCATGTTAATGAATTAAATAATATTTATTTTCAAATAATTTTACTTTAACCTCCTTGCTAGAAATAGCTAAACTCAAGCTAATGTTGAGGAAACTCTTTAATTAATCTCATGTAATCATCCAATGGAAGAAAAGCAAATTTACTCACCATTCTAATAACCCTATGTCTTTTTATCAAGAATTATTAAACAATATCGTAATTTAGTTTCAATGTACTCTCGAAAAAAGAAATCTTTTGATTATCTACAAGAAATTATAGCAAACATGAAGCATCTATTCTGGACTCTGTAAAATATATTGCCAATTGAATTAGATTCGACAATGGTCTCAAGGTATTTTCAACTAAATACTTCAAATCCTCTTCATATCTTTCTTGAAAGTTTATTTTTAAAACTCGTAGATTCTTAAACATGCTCAAAATATTCCATAAAGGCATTTTAAGCTCGTTAATTTATTGCTTGCCATTAAATTTATTATCAATCTGACTTAAGAGTGTAATTATTTAACTAGATACGTTAACATATAATTCCTGTATTTTATTCATGTTGAGTGATCCCAGTAGAAAAGCAGCATTTTAATAATAAGAGTCATGTTCTTTTCTAGAGAATTTGTCGATTAAAGAAAATTCTAGAGTTCTTAAGGTTTCATTGCTTGCATCAAATAATTGTTGGCAATAATTCTAGAACTTTAAATGGTTGTGATTATGCAATATCAATTTTTCAAGCTACTTGAACTTAAAACCTTTTTGAATAATCTCCGTTATTCCTTCTTTATAAAGATGTATTTCAAGCACTCTAAGCCAAAGAAATCCATTTTCTAATCCAGTTATTTACACTAAGGAAGCAATGCTCTAATCAGACAGACTTGATGATCATATTACTTTCTTGAATCTAATCAACTTCATTTCTTCTCTTTTTATTTGGCAAATTGAAAAAATATCTCATGTTTTCAATATATTCCTCTTATCTATGCCTTGGTATAAATTAAGTTTAGCTCTTTATTGTTATACCCTTAAAGAAATCATGATTCTATGGCAATAAATATAGTTCCTAAGTCGGTATCAGTTCTAAGTATTTAGATTTGGATTCAACTGCATCATCTTTTCTAAATACAAATTAACCTGTAAAATCATATTGAAGACCTTCTATATGTGTTTTCTTATAAATGGTCTCTAGGTAATAATTATTATTTTTCTGACTAGGACTTCCTAATTAGAGGTACTTAACATTGAGTCAATTAATTTCAGAAATTTCTAGAAAAAATCCCTTCCCTATTTGTTGAACAGATAGATATTCAATATTTTTAAATCCTTTCAAAAGTTAGTCATAGATGTCAAAGGAGCCTAGTATCTTTAGAGATTTCAAAACAATATTCTCATCTTAAGCTTAAAGATACCATTATTATAGTTCTTTGTATTAGTCCTACCATACATAATTCAGTACATTAAGAGTCCATTACATTTAAGGTATGTTAAAATTTCTGAGAAATTTATTTGTTTTATAGTAATTTGTATCAAATTATATTGTTTGTGGCTTCAACTGTTTTATAATTTCTACATATCATTTATCCATAAATTCATCTTGGAAATATTCAAGTTTAGTAATAATTATTAATTTCTTGATTTTTATTGTAGGATTTCTCAATTTGTAATTGAATAAGATCTCAAGTTACTGCTGAGTAGAAATTCTTACATTGATTATTTTATGCTATCTTTGATTCAATACCAAATATATCTCATTTAGCGAGTTTATTAATGATCTATCTTATTCCCAGCAATTTATGTACTAAATTTTATCATTTTTGCTCTCTACGTTTTGTATCTAATAATCTTTTACTAATTAGTAATTTTATATAACGTGATTTCTGAAGTTATGGTTGATAATGAACAAATATTATATTATGTTCATATCATAATTGTCCTATGCATATAGAAAGATATCATAAACTAAGTATTTAGACTTAATTTTGCTAAAGTTTAAAATTTACACTGATTCCATTATTATATTTTAATTAGTTTATAATAATTTAAAAAACTCTTGATATTATTTCTTTTAATATTCTCGGGGTTTTGGGGTTTTGGGG